CGCGCCAGGCTCAACGGGAACGACGTAGACGGTACCCGAGAGAACGCGCAGGAAGTCAATGATCCGCCCAGAGAGCACGACCGAGGAACTCCTGCCGAAGAGAGGACCCGCCACCCAGCACCACCGCCCCACCCGCACCAGCGAGCCCAGCAGCCTGCTGCGACGATGGAACGAACCCTCCAGTGTGCCCGCACTTGATTGTGATGTGAAGCAGATAAGTTGAGGTATACGATTGTTGACAGATAGGTTTAGATGGCAGAACTGAATTAGGTTAGCATATACCACGACTAGCAGTATAGGACAGATTCGATAGAGTAGATAAATATATAAATTAGATAGACAGATAAATCTAATCTGTATAAATAAGTAGCAATTGATGGATAGATAGATTAGAGTTAATATACATATATATACTATATACTTAATACTATATATTATATATATAAATAGTTATATATATATTATACTACATATTATATATACGTATACTATATACTTATATATATAATCTAATATATATTATCTTATATCAGTATATAATATGGTAATATGTATACTGTACTATTGTATAGTGTAATATGTATTGCTATATGTATAGTGTATATTACTATGTAATGAATGTATATGTATAAAAATGTATATGTATTCAATGTTATGTATATATATGTATAGTATAATTATATGGTGTCATAGGTATATTGATATGTATACTGTAATACGTATACGTATACGTATATGTAATAGAGTCACGATACGTATATCCGTATAGCGTTATACGTATACGTCTACGTACACGTATATAGTATATGTATATGTTACATATATATAAATAATATATTATATATTAGCTATATAATTAGTATAATATTATATACTTATTTATACATATATATAATAATATATTATTGTACAACTATAGTACTAGGTATATTATAGGTATTATGCTACTGGCTTTATATTAGTAGTATATTATGTACAGTATATTTATAGTATAGTGTATATATTTATACTATCTTGTATATATATAGTATTTATACGCTTATATCTATTATATTATTTATAGTAATGTTATATATATATATTGTACTAGTATAATTGATATTGTTCATATAGTATAGTGTATTAGAGTATATATAATTATCTATATAATCGTAACTATGTTGTATAATAATATATAGTATATGTATATAATATATAGTAGGTATATTATTTAGTATATATATACTTATATAGTATATATATATATGGTTATAATTATATATATACGTATATATTTATAATACTATATATATATATATATATATAAGTGTATACCTATATATAATATATGTATATAATTATATTATGTATGTATATATATAATAATGCTAATATATTGTTACTTATATACGTATATACGTACTATAATATTATATCATATGTTTAGGTTATATACCTTATATATAATATATATAATGTTATACCGATATAGCGATATATATGTTATAGTATTCATATATAGTTGTACTAGGTATATATATATATAGTATAGTATATAGTATATCTATCTGTATAATATAATTACTTATCTTATATATATATATCATCTATATGTATATATAATATATATATGTATGTATAGTATATATATGTGTATATATAATATATGTATATAATATAATATATATATATATATATCTATATATTAATTTATTATATAATATATATGTACTTACAATATGTGTATATATATATATATGTATATATTATATGTATATATATAGTATATGTTATATATATATATATATGTATATATATATAATATATTATATAATATATATATATATATATGTATATTATAATTATAATATATATATATATGTATATATAGTATATATATATATAATTATATATTATATATATAATATATATATATATATGTATATAAATATATGTATATATATGTATATATATATATATTATGATATATAATATATATACTATATATATCTATATATATATATATAATATATATATATATATATAATATTGTATATATATATATATATATATGTATATATATAATGATATATATTATATATAATTCATATATATATTATAATATATATATATATATATATATATATATATTATATATATATATATATGTGTGTATATATATATATATATAATATATATATAGTATATATATAATATGTGTGTAATATATATATATATATATATTATATATATATATATATATATATATATATATATATATATATATTATATATATATATTATATATATATGTAAATATATATGATATATAAAACAGATAGATAGATAGATAGATAGATAGATAGATAGATAGATAGATAGATAAATTGACAGATAGGTAGATAGACAGATAGATATACAGATAAATAGATCTATAAATAGATAGACAGATAGATATACAGATAAATAGATCTATAAATAGATAGACAGATAGATATACAGATAAATAGATTTATAGATGAATAGATCGTATTGCAACATTTTACTTTGATGAAAATCTTCTAAAAGTGTTTAGAATCTTATGAACATAGTTGACATAAGTTGCATAAAGGATGATATAAGATCAATTACCAAATAATTATATTTTACATTTACCCACATCAAAAGCATATTGAAAGCTACTGCAATTAGCAAATAAATATTGTATCAAAATCCAGTTGAACACTGCTGTTAGCAAATAAATATTGTATTCAAATTTGGTTGAATACTGCTGTTAGCAAATAAGTATTATATTCAAATTTAGTTGAATATTGCAACTAACAAATAAATATTGTATTCAAATTTAGCTGAATACTGCAGCTAGCAAGACGCACAAATGTATGTCCAAAACCTGTACACATTTTCAAACAAAGTGAAAACAATGAAGTACATGGGGAGTTTTAGGATTAACCTATCAGAATTGTTTCAACAAACTGCTCAGTAAATACCAACATTAGATCATCAAAGCAAAAACTCACTGCACTCCACTGTATGTATGAAACATGGTACAGTTTGAGGGCATACACAGACAGAATCATGCTGAATGCTTGTTATTATAAACACAGTTTTCATGTACTTATGATTGTAGACTTAACCACTATACCAATATGCATGACTGGGATGTACAGTATTTTCTACATGGGTTAATATCCTTGAATGTATACTCAGAGAGGCATAATATACAGTATGAAGGTAATGTGTAGATATGTAAAACTGTAGAAGTAGGTGTTGTTTGTAGTTGTGTATCTACATGAAGATTTGGATATCAATGGATTAAGTAATAAGTACTGTGGTGCATCTTAGTCTACTATAGTGTGGAAACATGTGTAGTGGTGTATGCAAGCAGGAAAAAATAAATGTTACTGAGGGACTGGCAATAAAGTGTATAAACAATGTGAATGTAAGAGGAAAACATATATATCAGATACAATCCTGATATAATCATCTGTATAGGCAACAAAAAGAACTCAAAAGTATAAAAGCGTATTTGTATGTAGATTAACCTGATGTTTTTGCATATGTGTGTAGGAGGGTAAAATAGAGAAGAGATTGGATTTGGTGGGGTAGCATATGTTCATCTGTTTGAATCTGTAATATTGTATATTATCCAACAATCTGAGAAGCCTGGAGTTTACATGCAACATCTGCAATCTATCTGACACACCACTTGGGCTACAAGGATTCACACAGGCAATACAGTGTCCCAAAGGCATTGACTGATCATGTGAAAACAATAATATCAAAAGAAAAGATTTTTTAAGATCTTTTACAGTCCATAATACGCTGTAAACACAATTGTCCACACCACAGTCTGGTTAAGGAATACAATCTGGGTAAGAAGCAGCAATCCATATATATATCTTTTTTGCTTTTGTTTTTTATTATACAATAAGACGATACCTGTGGCGCCCCTCCACAACCCTGTTTTTCTCCGCCGGCCGTCCGAACTCCCCGAGTCTATTGACTGTTGCTTCAATATTTGTTCTAGAATAAGGATAATGCTTTTGGACAGAAGAAAAAAATATATCTAGGAAATCCTTACCCATCTTTTAAATCTAAAATCCTATGAAACAAGAGAACACACACAAACAAGGAAATCTTGTTAACTGAAATTTAATAGTACAAATAAAAAATTCAATTGCACAAAAATCATAATTGATGTAACCAAGAGAGAAAGAAGTGCTAAAGTAATCTGTAAACAGAGTAACAAATGTATATGTCTACCCTAAATGTCTCATCTATAAGCAGAGGCTAGAGGAAAGGAAGGACAGAGATAGGGAGAAGAAATATGAAACAGATGGATAGATGTATGAATGGGGACAAGTAACAGGGTAGATAAATAAATAGACACAGATTCAAAGACTGCAATGATATATAGATGAAAAACTGGAAACAGATGTCTGGATGTGTCTGAGAGCGGATTGCTGAAAGGAGTGTGCGTGAAAAATTTGGCTGAAGGCCAGAGTGTCAAGGAAGGATTCTCCATGAATGCAAAAAGCTCTTAGAGAAAGATTAGATTCAGTGGCCATTTAGGATGGGACTCTTGCATTATTTCTACTGGTAAATGATGGTGGAATGTACCCTCTGCAAGCTATGGCTTGAATAGCACCAGCTCAAGGGAAGACACTATTTCCATGCTTGAGATCCTATTCCTGATCGTCACGACAAGCGGCACTGGGTGTGTTACATAAAATTTATAAAATAACACAAATAACAAAACGTTATTTACTGTTACTATTATCATAGACTACCTAAAGGGATGATATCCAGTCTGTGTAAGGAAAACAGTCAAAGACCTTTTTGAAACAGAATATCTGATGACAAGCATTGACCTTGGAAAAGGAAAAAAAAAAAAAAATTGATGCACAAAAAAGAGGAAGCATTGCAAAGGGGAGAGGCAAGGAGTTTTGTTTAGTCTTGGTTGGATTACTAGTGAGGTTGAGTGAGTGTGAGTGAGTGAGTGAGTGAGGAAAGTGAGTGAAAGTGAGATCGAGTGAGTGAGTGACAGGTAAGTGAATTGGTGAGTTTGAGTGATGAGTGAGTGAGGCTGAGTGAGTGAGTTGAGTTGGTGAGGTGAGGTTGGTAGTGAGTGAATGTGGAGTGAGTGATGAAGTGGGATGTGACGTTGGAGTAGGGCTGGGGGTGAGAGAAAAAGACATATGGTTTATTGGAACCAGTGTAGTCTAGCCGAGGTGTTGAGGAGGATAGGAGGTGAGGAGTTTGGTTTGGGGGTGGGTGGTGGTGGTGGTAGGGTAGGTAGATAGGGTAGGTAGGTTTAGGTAAGGTGACAGTCAGGTAGCGTTAGGGTTAGACAGGTAGTGCCGGTAGCGGTAGGTAGGTAGACAGTTAGGTAGATAGGTAGGCTAGACAGTGTGGTGGCTGCACGCACAGCGTAGGAGGTAGAGGGTAGTGTAAGGTAGGTAGGTAGGGGGCGATGTGAGACCAGGCATAATGTAGAGTGTAAGGTAGACAGGTAGTAGCGGGTAAGGTGATGACTTGGTAGGTGAACGGTAGAGTAGGTGGGGGTGTAGAGTTAGGGTCGAGGATAGTGTGTAGGTAGAGGTAGATACGTTAAGGATAGGTAGGGTAGCGGTGTGGCAGTAGGCAGGGCAGGCAGGCAGGCAGGTAAGTAGTGGTAGTAGGTAGGCAGGCGAGGCAGGCAAGGCAGGACAGGCAGGCAGGCAGGCAGGTAAGGTAAGTAGGTAAGGTAGGTAGGCAGGCAGTAGGCGGTAGGGCAGGTAGGCGAGTAGGCAGGGCAGAGGGCCAAGGTAGGCGCTAGGCAGGCAGGCAGAGCAGGCAGGCAGGCAGGCAGGCAGGTAGGCAGGGTAGGTAGGGCAGGTAGTGCAGGGAGTGCAGGTAGGTACGGAGGCGTAGGTAGGAGTAGGTAGGTAGGTAGGTTAGGTGGTAGGGTAGGTAGGTTGAGTAGGTAGGCAGGCAGGGCAGGTAGGTTAGGGTTAGGCAGTGAGGCAAGGTACTGGTAGGTAGGTAGCGTAGGTAGGTAGGTAGGGTAGCAGGGCGAGGTGAGCGAGGGCAGGTAGGTAGGCAGGAGGTAGGCAGGCAAGGTAGAGCAGGATGGGTACGAGAGGGGGTGGCAGGCAGGCAGGGTAGGGTAGGTAGGTAGAGGTAGAGGGAGGGTAGGTTGGTAGTTGGTAGGGCAGGTAAGTGGGGTGTAGGCGGATAGGTGAGGGTTGGTAGGCAGGTAGTAGGTAGGTAGGAGGGTACGAGGCAGAGTATAGGCGGGTAGGTAGGGCAGGGTAGGCAAGGTAGGTATAGGTAGGGCAGTAGGGCAGTTAGGTACAGCGAGTAGGCAGGCAGGTAGGCAGAAGGCAGTGTAGTGGAGTAGTAGGGTGAGGGTAGGGTAGGTAGGTAGGGTAGGTAGGTAGTAGGTAGGAGGTAGTAGGTAGTAGAATAGGTAGGCAGGCAGGTAGGTTGGTAGGTTGGTAGGCAGGTAGGTAAGGTTGGTAGGCAGGGTAGGTAGGTTAGGTAGGCACGGTAGCAGGTTAGGTAGCGCATGGTGTGCAGGATAGGGTGAAGTTGGTAGGCAGGTAGGTAGTAGATAGGTAGGTTTTGGTAGGAGGGCAGGTAGGAGGTAGCGTAGGTAAAGTTAGTTTAGGTAGGTAGCGTACGGTAGGTAGAGTAAAGCGTAGCAGGTTAGGTAGGTAGGAGGTAGGTAGGTAGGTAGGCATGGATAGGAGGTAGGGCAGGTATTGGAGTTAGGTAGGTAGACATATGAGGTAATGGGTTAAGGGCAGGTAGTGTGGGCAGTGAGATAAGGTAGGTAGGTAGGGTGGTAGGTGAGGTAGGGTGGTAGGCAAGGTTAGGGGAGGCAGGTAGGGAGGCAGGGTAGGGTCTAGGGCAGGTTAGGTAGGTAGGTAGGTAGGTAGGTAGGTAGAGTGAGGTAGTGCGAGGGTGGCTGAAAAAGAGGTGGACGTGGTAAGGGTAAGGGGCTGTATGGGTAGTTAGGTACTAGGTGGGTGGTGAAAGGTAGGAGTAAGCGGTCGGTAGGGTAGTGTAGCAGGCAGGGCAGGCAGGGTAGGTAGGGGCAGGGCAGGGCAGAGAGGGCGAGTAGGTAGTGGTAAGATGTAGGTAGGTGAGTGAGGTAGGTAGGAGGCCAGGCAGGCAGGCAGGGCAGGTCAAGGCAGGCAGGTGAAGGAGTAGATAGTGATGTGCAGGGCAGGCAAGGCCAGGGCAGCCGAGGTGTAGGTTAGGGCTAGCAAGGGCACAAAGGTAAGGAGGGGTTAGGTAGTTAGGGGTAAGGTAGGGTTTAGAGGGTGTGAGGGGGGCTGTAACTGATTCTGAATAGGCAGAGACAATGATTCGGTTGGACTTGTGTTCTGAGAGGGGTTAATTGATTGCCTCGTAGAGGGAGAAGTGGATGAGCTAGGTGTTATAAGCGAGAGACCGATATGCTCTGAGAGAGGGCGTAGGAAGGTAGAGTGAGGGCAAGAATACGGCAGGCAGCAGGAGGCAGGCGGCAGGCAGGCAAGGCAGGCAGGCAGGCAGGGAGGCAGCCGCGTAGGTACGATAGGCAGGTAGGTGAACGTAGGCAAGTAGTGCAGCGTAAGTAGGTAGACAAGGTAGCAGAGGATGAGTAGTGTGAGAGCATAGTGGCATGTGAGTAGGAGATTAGATTAGATAGGAGGTATAGTAGGTAGGTATACGGTGGGTAGGTAGGTAGTGGGGTAGGATAGGGTAGAAGAGGTAGCTGGAGGCGGCAGGCAAGGGAGGCAGGCAGGCAGGTAGGTGGGCAGTCGAGGTAGGTGAGTGTGAAGGTGCAGTGGGGTGATGTAGTAGGCAGAGTAGGTATTGGTATTGTATGGCACTTCAGTCAGGTAACGGTAGTAATAGACTTAAATGTAGGGCAGTTCAGGGATGAGGTAGGGTAGGTAGGTAGTGTAAGAGGTAGGCAAGGTAGGAATATGTAGGGTAGGTTGTAGGTAGGTAGTATATTGTAGGTAGGTACAGGTACGGTAGAGGGGTAGGTGACGAAAGTACAGGAGTGAATATGGTAGGTGTTAGGTTGTTTAGGCAGTCAGGTAGGGGTAGGCAGTAATTATATATATAATGGGTAGGTGAGGATAGGCACAGTGTCAGTAGGAGGTAGGCAGTCAGGATAGGTCAGGTAGGGTAGTGTGGTGTGTGTGTGTTTGTGGGTGTGGTGTGTGTTTGTTGGTCTGTGTGTGTGTGTCTCGTGTGTGTGTGTGGTCTGTGTGTGTGTGTGCGTGTGTCTGTGTGTGTGTGTGTCTGAATGTGTGTGGTTTGTGTGCGTGTGTGTGTGTGTGTGTGGTGTGTGTGTGTGTGTGTGTGTGGTTGTGGTGTGTGTGGTGGTGTGGTGGGTGTGTGTGGTTTGTTGTTGTTGGTTGTGTGTGTGTGTTGTGTGGTGTGTTGTGTGTGTGTGTGTGTGTGTGTGTGTGTGTGTTGTGTGTGTGTGTGTGGTGTGTGTGTGTGTGTGTGTGTGTGTGTGTGTGTGTGTGTGTGTGTGTGTGTGTGTGTGCGTGCGTGCGTGCGTGCGTGCGTGTGTGCGTGTGCGTGCGTGCGTGCGTGTGCGTGCTGCGTGCGTGCGTGCGTGTGCGTGTGCGTGTGTGTAGAAGAGGTGCAAGGGTGGGTGAATGGATAAATATATGAATGAGTAGATTAATGAATAAACAGACAATTCAGGAGGTAAGTATAAAGTTTGATGGGGATGATAAATAAACAGATGTTTGAATAGAGATGGGTATAAAGGTGGGTTGATAACTGGTGGATAGATGAACAGAGGAAAGGGCAGGAAAGCAGTGAGCGAAATGAATATATAAAATCAATCATGGATAGAAGGGAGCGAAGAATGAATGCATAGACAAATGGGCTGGCATGATGACACTTGGAATGGCTGTATATGTGTCAGGGAAGGATAGAAGGATGGATAGATGAATGGATAAATGAGCAGAAAATGGATAGGTGATCATACTTAAAAACGGATGATGAGTAAATGAATTTGAATGCCTGAGTGGGAAAGAAAAGGAAAGAAAAGAGGAAGGAATGACAAGGTAAATAAATACAGTCTCAAGAGATAAACAGAGTAGACAGAAAATTAAGAAAAGAGAAAGAAAAAAAGATGGATTATTCAAGAAAAAGAAGGGTAAGTGAGGGGACCGGGAGGCAGAACAACTTTCCATTTTTCAGTCAGTGAAATTCATAGTAAAGAATATAAAACAAAAAAAATTAAACCACCTGTGACAAACAAAATCATCACCATGTGAGGAAAAATAACGACGTCGACGCCTACCTCTCAGTTTGGTCCTGGTAGGGTCGGGCGTGGGATCCTCGTCGATCTCGGCTGCGAGGTAGTGTCCTGTGGCAAGGTGCTTGAAGCGGAACAAGGAATTCCAGTGTCCTGCACCTCCTCTCGATGGGTCGTGTTGGACCACCTTCTTGAGCCAGAGAAGAGAGGGGCTTTTAGCAAAGGATTACTACTTCTAGAACAAGAATGTTAAGAAGGACACGAGCACTCTTTCGAGGGAACGAAAATTGCATTCGTATAGAGTTTTTTTGCCAAAAGACACAGACATATCATCATCGCATACTCTGTACTTAAAAATAAAAAACAGAAGCCACCCATAACAAGATCGCCTCTTCCGCACCTCGACCTCCCACAGGGCTTTACTAGATGTCGCAGTGGTGGCCGTGGTCCGCCCCGTCGTCCTGAGGAAAACGCAATGCTTCTTCTTGTATTCGTCCATGGTGAGGAACTTCTCTTGTTCCGCGTGGAAAAGGCGTATCACGTCTCCCCCTTTGAGGATACCGTCCTGATTCTCCCTGTGGTCCATGAAGAGCGAGATCTTCCAGCTCGTCATCGAGTTCAGGACATTCACCTGAAGAGGAACAAAGCCTTATTTAGCATGCGCATAATTGTGTCGTGCCGTGGCTCTACACTTAGATTCGTACTGAAGCATTAACTATAAAATATGACATGAGGTTTTAATACATCACCATGTAATATGACAGAATTGGGACTCTCTTCTGTGTGTGTGCGTTTGCATGTGCGTGTGTATGTGTGTTTGCGCGTCTGCCAGTTCGGCGCGACTCTGTTACCTTTACCTACAAATGACAAAGCAACATGAAACAAAAAGCATTAAAAATACATCGATCTTAAACCGAGATATGATTCATCCCCTGTCGCAATTTGGGGAAAACGGTGCCAGTAGAATATCATCATATATATCGAAACTCAAACCTAAAATTTTCTCAGTCTGCATATTTACCTCTTTACAGCCTGGATGGTCAGGAAGATCGTTCATGCTGGACACGTGCAGTTGGGCGTTCACAGGGCTGAGAATCACCTTGTCGCCGACGACCACATTGTCCCCCGTGAGCCGAAGCTTGTAATATGGGTTGATGTAGAACCACGACCCCTCGTTGCCGTTGGCGTCCAGGTAGACCCGCATGGCGTTCTTCTCCAGCAGCGCCGGCAGTCGCTTGTTCACGGTCAGGTACTTGTTGGATTTCAGGTGAAGGAGCTGAAATGGGAGACGGGCGGGTGAGAACACTACGCGAAAGGCGATAAATAATCTACGGGAAGTGAACAGCGAATCAAATACATATATATATATATATATATATATATATTATATATATATACATATATATATATGATATACATACATACATACATACATATATATATATATATATATATACACACATATACATATACATAAATAATATGTATTGTGTATATATGTGTAATATATGTGTTATATATATATACACATATATAAACACATATATATACACATATATACACATATATATATACATATATATACATACATATACATGTAATATACAATACATATACATATATATACATATATATACACATATATATTACACATATATACCATATATATACACATATAATATACATATATATACAACATATACTATAGTAGCATATATATATGAACATATATAATATACATATATATAGACATATATATACAATATTATATACTATATATAACATATATATACACATATATACCATATATATACACATATATAGCATATATATACATATATACACATATAATACTACACAACACATATATATACACACACATATATAACACAAAACATATATATACACATATACACATCATACACATATACACATACACAGTATACACATACATACATATATATATATAATAATATTATATATATATATATATATATATATATATATAAACCGCGAGTTGCCCTTTCCTAGCCCAACCAACGAACGCGCCCAATAACTTATCCTGGCGCATCTTCGATTCTGCAAAATTAACAATGGTAACAGAAGCTCTAAAAGCGCTGAGTGCAATGAACGAAGCATTTCCTAGAGCGCAATCCCTTGACAAGAACCTCTTTCATTCTATCGGTTTTTAATTGGTCATAATAACTTCACATTTCCCTGTTAACACCTTAAAGTGGAAAATGACATATAAAAAAAAACAATAACAAGGATATCAACGGCACATATAACAAAAAAATAATATAAACCAAATGAAAAGACAAAAAAGAAACTGGAAATAAGCTTAAGCAAATAGAGAGGGAGAAAGAAAGAAGAGAAAATTTGAAAACAAGTAAATATGTCCAAAGACAAACGAAGACAAGAAATAAATGGGAATGATTTAGAAGCAAGAACTTGGACAACGAAAATAGTAAACACAATGTAGAAATAAAAAGAAAACATAAATGATATTCCCGTAAAAAAAAAAAACAGAAAATATACAAAAGGCACATGAAAAAAACAGAAAAAATGGAAACTTTATAAGACAAACGAATAACGACGAAATACGAAAGGAGAAAAAGAATAAAGAAGGCCCGCGACCGAACGCACGCTTCTCGCCCAGGGAAACACAATGGCGGGCTCATGAGTGTCACGTGCAACACCCAATGACACTTAAAAAAAAAAAAAAATCTCACTCTGTGTGACCTTGAGACATCACTCTGATAACATCGAGGCGGAAAAGGCGAAAACGGTTTCACGCCAATTTTTATTTTTTCCTTTCTTGTTCCAAGTGATGGACGCCAATTCAGCTTTTTAAATGCTTTTTCGAATATTCTCTATTTTTCTCTACCGTTTTTCAGTTCAACGTGAACAGATTTACCAACAAAACCGAAGTTTTAAAAAAGAAAACATGACAAACGAAAATAACAACTTAGAGACAATAAGACAAATAAAACAGATGCAGATATAACAAGGAAAAAAACGCATATAACTTGCGATAACGCTGATGCAGAATACCAGAACAATGCACATTTATTAAACAGATATCAAACAACCAAACACTTTTCCGACAGACTAAAAAAAAATCAAAGACGTAAAATACCCATTCCGAAAAAAAGAAAAAAAAACATGGCGCAAGGCCCCTGGCTTAACATCTACCGCAACTCGATTTTTCTCTTCCATGGAGCCAATTCGACATTTTTTTTCAATAACTGCGCCGACTCATATCTGCAGACAATTTTTTCCTCAACAAGTGACCTGGACCTGGAATTTTTAACTGCGAGACTTTTGCGACACAGATGTGGTCATCAAAAACGGTGTGGTTCTGAGGAAGTCTAAAAATGCAGCTTGTGGTTGCTGGGTGGAGTTATTATTTACTTGTGCAAAGGCAACGGGCTTATTCTTCGCTTTCTGCTATTTCTTTTAGACAACAAAAACAGACCCTTGCAAACACACACAAAACAGACCACTCACACACAACCACATACAACACACACACACAACACACACACACACCACACAACACACACACAAACACACACCACACACACACACACACACACACACACACACACACACAACACACACACACACCACACAACAATAATAATATAATAAATACTATATAAATTAACACACACCACGTTTCCAATCCGCCCCCAAGTGTGTCAGCGGCCGGCCGGTGATACCAACAGGGCGAACTTAATGGGTAAATAGGCCTATCGAGGAGATTTTCCTCCGTGACTTGAAATGTTGCCTAAAAAGGGTTTAATTGTTATATGGTGTCACGGCGCACGCGCTCGCTCGACCTCTGACGGGAAAGAGCTCATGCCGCTGTCGCTCTCTCAATTACATTTTAATGGCTCTACAAAAATACACTCTTCGTATCATTTCACTCGGACACACACGCACAAGCGCATTCATTAACACCTATGATCATACAAACATCCACGCGAATAAATATAACAAAAGAGAAAAAGTAGAAGTACATAAACATATCAAAATTCACTTACTAAATCTTCAAGATATAGACTAGAAGAGAACGACTGGAAATACTACGATTATAACGCTAAATTCCTCTAGGTTTTAGACCCAATAATATTCAATGTCTTCTATAAAGGATGAGCACAAAATACGACCCTTAAGCGGGATTTAGTAATGTATTACCTTATCTGATACGCTGTGTGTAACTTGGTTGTTTTTTTATTTTCATCATTTATCTCTGATTCTTTTATTATCTTTTACGCGATAACCATGCGTGTAACTTTGAAGACTGCATACTTAAACAACCACTCATTTTCTGGGTGGATACGTATGCGAATCATATATGTGAAAAAATCTGCATTGTCCCCTCCCACCAAACATTTTTGTGGACATGTTGAGAACGTGTGCAAATTCTAACACAAATTCTGCATGCCCACAGGAGCACACATGTCCTCTCAACAGGTTAATTTCTCTCAAGAGTAGCCTATGGGTGCCCTAGTGGCCCAACTCTGCAACATGTCTATGCAGAATAACCAAACGAGGGGGATAAATGGGACAAAATAAAAAGAGATAGAAGTGAGTGAAACGAAACAGAGGAACAGGCCGAAAGTGGAAATCATTTCAGGACACTTGCATAAACATTTTTTCTCCATCTCTTCTTATCACTGATGTGTGTCAAGAAAGGAAAGAAGCCAAGAGAAAACATGAAGACCATGAAAAGTTAAAAAAAAACAAATAGCTAAAATAAATAAATCAACAAGAAAACAACCTGCCCCACAACGCAACGGTAAGCTCATGACTTTCTCATTTTTATGAGAAGATTAAATGAGTTAAGCCCCGCAGAGTCTCTATTCCAGCCAGAGAAAAACACCTTCAAAATAATATAATCAATCTGGCGTCCTCTGAATGGGAAAAGGTTGAGGGATGAAGGTATACTGCGATGATGGTGATTAGTGGTGATGATGGTATGCTAAGTGGCGAGAACGGCAGAAAGGCAATGAAGTGAAACCAGAAAAAAACAGCCAAAAATATCCATAAGATAAAGAAAGAAAATGAACAGGAATAAAGAAAGTCAGAGTCACAAACAACAAAGCACTAAAGAAATTTCATTGCCATCCAAAGAAGAGAAAGCTGAAAAAAAGAAAAAAAGAAAGGGAATCAGGGGAAAAAAATAAAAAATGAAAAGCAAACTTCATAGCCGACCGAACTTACACCTCCCAAAACGGAGCCGAAACCTGCGCCGATCCCTTGCAACGAACACGCAACAGATATACCTTGTCATATCTTAAATATTCTTGTTTCCCACTTTTCTTAGCCTCAACTCCCTACTTTCCCTCGCCTTTCTTCTTCTTTCTTCCATTATCCCACTCTTTCTTCCCCTTTACTAACACCCGTCATCCTTTTTCCTATCTTTAATTATCTCTTTCAATCCCTAATCATTCTTTCACCCCTTTATCCTCTCTTCCTTATTTCCTCTTCCTAGACCCTACCAATTACTTCCTTTCCTTTGCCTCAACCTCCTTTTCTCCTTCCCTTTCTCCCTTCTCTCCCTTCCTTCCAGTCCCATATGCCTCCCCTCCTCCTTCCCCGTCTTCGCAATAGTTCGCGAAGCAAAACCAGAAGTGATAAATAGAGCGAGAAGAGACAGAAGACAATCATACCGACTCCCAAGGTGAGAGTTCGCGAGCCAGAGCAACGGCTGGGGGGGGGGGGTCTCTCTCGTGTTCTCGTGTAACGGACTCTGATACTTGGTGATACATGGCGCACGCAAAGGGGGCACGTGTGGAAAGTCAGTAAATTGGGTGAGAGAGAAATGAAAAGGAGAGAAGATAGGAGGAGACGAGCAGAGACTGGAGAAGAGAGAGAGAGAGAGAGAGATAGTACAGGGAGGAGGAGAGGAGTAAGATGAGGAGAGGAGAGAGTAAGGTGAGCAGAGGAGAAGAGAGTGAGTGAGGAGAGAGAAGAGAAGATATGAGTGTGAGGAGAGGAGTGTGTTTGTGGAGAGAAAGAGAGAGAGAGAGAGAGAGAGAGAGAGAGAGAGAGAGAGAGAGAGAGAGAGAGAGAGAGAGAGAGAGAGAGAGAGAGAGAGAGAGAGAGAAGAGAGAGAGAAAGAAATACGCAGCGTTTATCCATGCAGATTTGCATATGAACAACTGAAGCCTTGAAACTTCGTATGCTGTTGCCAACGTACTTTCTAACTTCCTAGAGATTTCAGTTAAAATCCAACATCATTATAAAGAAAACCAACAGCAATAA